ATGTCAGACTCCAGAGGGGCGGATCCTGCCCAAGCGCTAATATAAAGCCTATAAGGCCTACTGCGGCGTGCAACCCGATCCACAATAATGAATAAGCCAATAAGGTCTGCTGCGACGCGCATCCCGATCCACAATAACACTCACAATCCGGCTATCAGGCCCAACTCAATCATCAATCTCTCCAGTCCCACGGGCTCACAAGTCTCATACTACTCAACCCAAACAATGATAACATGATACAACAGTAAATAATAACAGAGACTGAGATATGATATGCATATGAATAAACATGACTGAGTACATAATTGCAGTTTAAACAAATAACTCAACAGTAGAAATAACCTCAGTGCGTCCCAACAAAATAAGCACATAGCATGAACATGATTTCTATCATAAATCACAGCTCAATTATCTAACACGTAAGGATTACACGGATAAAACAAGACTAGATAACTACACAGTACCACAGAATCAACCGAGTCATAATTTCCATGGTGCACGCCCACACGCCGTCACCTAGCACGTGTGTTACCTCAACACCAACCATATAACACGTATTTCAGGGATTCATACCCTTAATACCAAGATTATAAGTGTTAATTACCTCAAAGTGCGCAAATCAATGCTCCAACAAACCCTTGCCTCGTGAATCGGCGTCCAAACGACTCGAATCTAGTCACAAACAACTTAATATAATCAATACAAGCTATAGGAATTGATCCCATACGATAAAGCTAAGTTCTTTAACTAAACTCAAAAAGTCAACCCAAAAAGTCAACCACGGGCTCACGCTTCGGAACCCAACAAAATTCACAAAATTCGAACACTCATTCAATAACGAGTCCAACGGACCATACCAAAATTATCTAATTCCGACCACAAATCGAACCTCAAATCTCCAAATCTTACCCTCTAGTACATGGGTCAAAAATCCCCAAATTCTAACTTAGATTTATGAGAAATAGGTAAAATAATCAAGGGGTATTCAATATTCATGGACAAAAGTGATTAAAAATCGCTTACCTCTTCAATTTAGGTGAAAACCTCTCCAAATATCGCTCTAGTCCGCACTCCAAAATTCTCAAAATGAGAGAAGAACTCAAACCCTAGATTTTTAAAACGCTACCAGCACTTTCACTTATGCGGGCCGCATCTACGGTAAATTATGTGCATCTGCGCAAACCACTTAAGTCCCGCCCCTCCACTTTTGCGGAAAGCTCCCGCATTTGCGCATGCGCGCCTACGGAGAAAATTCCACATCTGCGGTCCAGCCCGCTCCTACGCTTCCCTTCATCGCAGAAGCGACCTCGCTTCTGCGGAGACGAACCTCGCATCTGCGATCTAACTACACCTATCCACTTCCGCATCTGCGCTCATAAGGCCGCACCTGCGGTGCCGTATCTGCGGCCACTCCCACCGCATGTGCGAACGCACTAGAATTAAAGCATAACAAAATTTTCTTAAGTCCACAATTCAATCCGAATCACACCCGAGGCTCCTGAGACCTCGACCAAACATACCAACAAGTCCTAAAATACGCTACGAACTTAGTCGAAGCCTCAACTCACATCAAATAATATCAAAAATACTGACCGTATCCCAATTCAAGCCTATTGAAATGAGTGAATTTCCAACTTCTAAAATCAATGCCGAAACCTACCAAACCGACTCCGATTGACCTCAAATTTTGCACACAAGTCATAAATGACATAACGGACCTACTCCGGCTCCCGGAACAAATTCCGAGTCCGGTATCAGCAAAGTCAACTCTCGGTCAAACTTCTCAACTTTTCAACTTCCACCAATTCAAGACAAAACGACCTACTGACCTCCAAATCAATATCCGGACATACTCCTAAGTTCAAAATCGCCATACGAAGCTATCGAAACCATCAAAACTCTATTCCGAATTCGTATACACATAAATCAACATCCGGCCAACTCTTCCAACTTAAACTTCCAACCTTGGGACTAAGTGTCCCAATCCATTCCAAAACATTCCCGAAACCAATCCAACCACCACAACAAGTCACATAACCCCAATTGAACATAGAATAATCAATAAATTGGGAAACATGGCTACAATACTCAAAATGACCGTCCGTGTTGTTACAGTGCTCCATTTGATCTGTAGCCGCTATTGGGTTTTGGCACGATATTTTTGTATACACATATGGGTAAGACGGGGCCCAGTCCCATCCTTTATACATTTGTACACTCTATTAGAGGTCTGTAGAACAGTCATGTATAGTTGGATAGTATGTGGCCTTGTCGGCTTCCTCCGTATACAGTCATGTATAATTGGATAGTATGTGGCCTTGTCGGCTTCTATTTTTGATATATAGTTGTCTATAGCAGCCTTGTCGGCTCGCACTACCGTATTTCGCATGTATATGTATATATGTTTTGGGCATGTTTCCCCACGTATGTTATTCACATGATTCAGCAGTTTATTGACAGATGTTATGTATGACCTACCCTTATTTCATGTTTATATTTTAGACATATGCTTAGGGGTGTTAGACAGGTAGGACTTGAGTACTCGTCATGGCCCATCGATTTGGGTCGTGACACTAATGCTCAACCATTTATACTAGAGTGCTATTTAGGCTAAATAACCAAAATACCCTTAGGTAGTAAAGGAAGCTAAGTAGACCTAAATTATAAGACTAGCCTAAATAGCTAAATTGCCAAAATAGCCTTCTTTGATCTTGACTCCTTTAAAGCACTCCAATGCTATGATGTTGACTTGGAAATCATCCTCGTTAGGCATGCCCAGCTGGCGTGTATCACAAGACTTCCTATTATGGAATTAATTTTTAATTTTTAAAATTAATATCACCATAATAAATTATGAATCATTCCACTAAAAAATTATTATTTTACTCCTTATTCAATTTCAAAATTCACCTATTAAATCTTATTTAACTTCCCATATTAAGCTTCAGATGTTAATCAATTAAATTAAATTACTGACAGTTTAATTTATTGATTATTTTTTTAGACTTTTGCTTAATTTATTTTATGTGTTGGATACAAAATTCACCGGCCGGGTTTACAGATAAAAACTTATAAGCTTAAATAAAGGTGTGTCATCAATCTCTAAATCGAGACATGGATTTCATCAACTAACTATTATTTCGTTAATGTTTATTATCCAATTTACTAGGCATATTATCCCATGAAAGAATCTCGCCTTTTAATAAATCATAATAATAATAATAATAATAATTATAATAATAATAATAATAATAATATACACACATTTAATGACTAGAGAATTTATTTTATTAAGTCAGTATAAAATACTTATCTTTACTTTGTCCATTCAATACATACAAAATGTACTAGCACAAGAAGTTAGAATCAAACCAATTTCATAATCAAAATAAATTTATTTAATCTTGTGCTACAATCATTCCTGATGGTTTGTCCAATTCCATTATTAGACTGTGAACTCAAACTTTATACTTATAAGAATCGATAAATTAATCTTCCGTGTATAAGCTAAACTCTATGCACTAAATCATATACTATATAAGCAAAGGACGCAAACTAATATATGATTTATTTAAAACTCTATTAAAATTGAATAAATAATTTTTTCATAATAAATACTCTATCCAAACCAAACCCATAGTTAATAATTTATATCCCAACATCCACAACTATCAGCTCATTTTAATAGTCGATTCAAGAAGAAGGAAGATTGCTGTCACACTAAAACAATGAAGAAGGTACTCTATCCGTTCCAATTTATGTGGCGTAACTTGACTTTGGACGTAATTTAAAAAGAAAAAAATAATTTTTAAAATTTGTGATTTCAGAGATGCCATAACATTTGCATGGATATAGAACTTTTAAAACTTGGGATCTTAAATATGTCATAATATTTTTGTTACTGTAAAAACTTCTCATTTAAAGAATAAAATGAGAAGTTTAAATTAAATTACTTTAAATATAAAAATTATATTATTCTTTTTTAAAAGAATAATAACAAGAAAGTATTACATATAATTGAAATGGATGGAGTATTATTTTATAAACACAAAGGCTAAGTGAAATCTATTCTTCTCAAGTATTATAAACGAGTTTTTGGCCAATATTGTCCCTTATCTTTGAGGTTAGGTCTATATTGGTCCCTCAAATATAGCCGTAAGCATATTTAGTCCCTTAAGTATGCTAAAGTGGAGCATCTTTAGTCTCACTAACACAATGTGTTCAAAAACTAACGGTGACGTTTCCTCTCCTTTTATTGGATAATGCAAATTATCACTTTAATTTCTCATTTTTAGATAATGTCTTCTAAAATTTTGACCTTGAAAATATCCTCTTCTGTGCAAGTTTTCAATGAGAAAATGACACTGTATAGCCGCTGTAAAAAAAAAAAAGCCAAAAAATGTATAAAATTTGTATGTATAAAATTTTCGGCTATTATTTTTACAGCGGCTATACAATGTAATTTTCTCATTGAAAACTGGCACAGAAGGGGATATTTTCAAGGTCAAAATTTTAGAAGACATTTTCTAAAAATGAGGAATAAAAGTGATAATTTGCGTTATCCAATAAAAGGAGAGGAAACGTTTTGCTTCAGAGCAAAAGATTTGTTTTATGAATCAGAGTTGGGTAACACCGTTAGTTTTTGAACATATTGTGTCAGTGAGACTAAAGGTGCTTCACTTTAGCATACTTACATATACTCAAGATTATATTTGAGGAATCAAAATAGACATACCTTCAAAGATAAGGAACAATATTGGTCAAAAACTCTGTTACAAACGGTCTAAAAAAGCATAAAGAAACCAAAGAAAAAAGAAGAAAAAACAAAGGAGATTGATCAGCACGTAGCATCAAACAGAGGGGACAATCCGTTTGACATGTCGCGAGTTGATTGGCCCCAACCATGTCAATTTCCTTGTACTCTTTCCCCTAGTTTTGGTTCCAGCGCAGCTCTTCCCTTTTTTAGATCTACATATTCATATTATTATTATACTTATAAAGGTTGAGTTGAAGAAGAGTCCCAATCACTTTCACATTCTACAAACAAAAATTCCGTAGTCAACTAATTGTATTGTATTATCGGTAAATAAAAATAGTGTTCAAGATCTCGTCTGCTTGTTTGCTTCTTGATGAGGAGATGGGGAAAGCTTCAGTAATAATCTACATCACAATTGCTGTGCTCCTCCTACTCCTCATCTCTCAATCTCCTTCCAACAAAGCTGGTAAGCGACATGGGCATCGCCGGCTCAAGGTTCGCTCCAACTTCACTTTTGACCAACATATTCACCACGAACATGAACGCATTCCTTTTGACCCTTTAGTGGCTAAAATAGAGCGACAACGTGAGGATAAGGAATGGGAGAAGCGGTACATTGACACCCACCATCCAGAATTACATGCTCCTGGTGAAGAATCGCAGCCTGAATGGGAAGACTTTATGGATGCTGAAGACTATCTGAATGATGAAGACAAGTTCAATGTCACTGATAGGCTTGTGTTGTTGTTCCCAAAGATTGATGTGGACCCATCTGATGGCTTCGTGAGTGAGCATGAGTTGACTGAGTGGAATCTTGAGCAGAGTAGGAAGGAAGTGTTGCATCGGACTGAGAGGGAGATGGAGGTTCATGACAAGAATCATGATGCTTTTGTCTCTTTTTCTGAGTATGAGCCGCCCAGTTGGGTTCGCAATTCAGGTCACTTTCTAAAAAGCTCTTCTTTTTAGTATCCTGCATTGCTTCTTATCAGTTTATTCATGTTACTGTTTGTTTAACTATAAAGTCCTTGCCTCGTATTTTGTCAAATCTTTACCTGTTTTTACAATAGGAAGGAACTCTAGTCTACTATTACAATAGGAAGGAGCTCTAGTCTACTATCTTAGGAGGTTATTAAAATTTGTATCGGTAACGGTCTCTCAATTGATTGTTTCCATCGCTGTTTATCTTAGACCTGGTGAAGCTGTTTCATAGGATATCAAAGTTAGATGTAAGGTCAGGGATGCGTGTGGCGTGGCCGCATGGGGGGTGGGGGGCATTGGTCAAACGGTTTGAATAAAGGGCTCTGTGGATGCTAAGTATTTCACCTTCTTCAATTGATTTATGGCCTACATTTAAGGTCACAAGCACGTTATAGGTCAACTGCCTTGAAGCAGCTACCCCTACACCTGATGTGATCTATTAAATTTGTAGTAATAGCTTGCTGAATATGATAAATTGTACCATTCATGTTCCCCAAGTACTACTGCAGTTTACATTAATTGAAGAAACTTTCTAGAAATTGTTTTAGGCATTGATTGAAGAAACTTTCTAGAAATTGTTTTAGGCTTTTGCTTGGATCTTTCGATATGGTGAATGCTTGAATGCTTACCTTTTCATGTAGAGCGATTGGTATGTCATTCTCTGGGCATCGTCTGAAACTTTGTTCGTTGGTAATTGCACTTTTTGACACAAATCCTTGTTTGTTCAATCTTCATTTAACAAAGAACATAAGAACTTCAAGCCTTCTATTCCGCTCCTTTTACTTTATTTCCTTTGAGAAAGGCTTGAAAACACTAGTTTAAAAATAAGATTCTTATTCTGTATTGCAGAGGTTGTAGATTTTTGTTTTAATAAGCTTGATATTTCTTAACCCTTTCCTTGTTTTCTTCTTTGTGGCTGAATTAGATTCGCCTCACATTTTCTCAGTTATATTCTTTCTTTTGGACTCCCTTCTCAGCAAAGTCCTATATTTGCTTTAGAAAAAGGGTAGCCGGTGCACAAAGCATCCCGCATTCACGCAGGTTTTGGGGAATGACAACCTAAAGTCCTATATTTGCTTTATATCTCAGAAAGACAGAAAAGAGAATTCTTCATTAGCTAGTGGAAAAAGAGAAAGATGAGGATACTCATTGCTTGATTTGTTCGTTTTCTACACAGATTCAATGTCCTTTCAGTGGTTTCTGAATGACTCTTGAATATGTTATATGCTTGACTAATGTGGACATGCTATTCACTTTCTTCTTTTTTGTTTTGGGTGCATTTTACATTAAGAGCACAAACAAGTTGCTTCTTATTTTGCTTCCCATGTCTTTCTACTTAAACTTGAATCATTTCAGTCCATTCATGGGTTCCATTGTTTCGTGCTGACTACGGTTAATAGGGTTTCATTACTTATAGAGAAACTATTTTTTGGCCATTGATTTAGTAATTCACCGCAATCACAGTGTTTGAAGTGCATATCTGCTCCCTTTCTAGATATATTTCATCCTCCCCCTTACTCTTTGACAAATTTTATGTGGTTATGCTGCAACAGATAACAGTTCTTTTGGATATGATATGGGCTGGTGGAAAGAAGATCATTTTAATGCATCAGATGTAGATGGAGATGGACTTCTGAACATTACTGAATTCAATGAGTAAGTTTCTACTAGGCCAGGAAAACCTTTTAGCTTTTACTAACCTAAGCTCCTTTTCTTAATAGTTCTCTGAACTTCATTTGAGGATTTCATCTCATCCAATAACTTTTTGCTTTCTTGTGATCTCATAGCTTTCTACATCCCGCCGACACCAGAAACCCCAAACTACTCAACTGGCTATGCAAGGAGGAAATAAGGTTCAGCAAATTTGCTGCTTTAACATTTTTCTTAAATAAGAGCTTCGATCATTTTGCTGATTTTTTTTTTTCTCGTGTACGATGGTCTATTTTAGCTGTTGTTAATGTGCCAATGCTATGTGTTGTACCTTCCATCAGTTGTTCTTTTCATTCGCTCTTTTGTTTGGTGTCATGATTTTTCGAGCTGGCTGGGAAAATTAAACAGAATGATATTTAGGAACTTTCAGAAGAATCCATATCAAGCTCAACAAGGCATTTTGTATGTTCATTTCAACTGATCCGACCATTTTGACATCGAATAATCTTTAGATTCCAAGCGACCTAATTAGCGCCCCCCCCCCCCCCCC